CAATTTGGAATTAATTTGCACTTGTGAGTTTTTCAAAAAGCTCACTCGTGCAAATTAATTCCAAATTGAACTCGAAACCGTATGATTATCTATACTAACATTACATAAAACAGCCACATTTACGTACAATACTACTTACGGTACTCACCTTAATTACAAGTTGACAATATCACTTAATGTTATAACTAATTCTACTTACAGTTCGAACATAGCTTACATCAGAAACATTAATTATTAGTTAACAATATCACGCATTTCGTACAATATCGTGAGTTAAGTTACAATGATACTGACACTACTTACATAACTAACACAACTAAGTATTTACGTACAATACAATAGTGACAGAAATTAATTACATAAAATTATATAACACTACTACCACTAATAACAAAAATACTAATACTAATACTAATACTATTACTATTATTATTATTATTATTAATAATAATAATAATAATAATAGTGAAAGTGAATGATTATCGTAGTAAATTTTCCAATTTAAGCAATTGAAAAGAAGAAGCCTGAAAAAATCAGGGCTTCAACGGGATTCGAACTCATGACCCCCGCGATACCGGTGCGATGCTCTAGACCGCAGTTCAAATATGAATTATTTCATATATACTTCACAATAATAATAACAATAACAATAACAATAACAATAACAATAACAATAACAATAACAATAACAATAACAATAACAATAACAATAATACAGTAATAGTTCTTTGATCGTACGCTCGCGCATCTAGTCTAAGAACTCACGTTACAAGCGAATACCTACATTGTAAGGCCCTGGCCAAACGGACTCGCAAGTAGTCAGAAGTAGTGGCAAGTAGCGTTGGGTGGCCAAACGAACTCGCAAGTTTCCTCGCTAGTACACGTAAGTCGCAAAAAAAAAAAAAACATTTCAAGAAAGACTTATGCTGTATTTCATTGGCTAACAATGGGTTGATGGACGTCACTCAACTTGCATTGACTTGAGTTGGGTGGCCAACTGGTGAAAAACTTGCGTCGACTTAATTTGGACCGAAGTGAACCCAAGTTAATGCAAGTGCAAGCAAGGCCTGGCCAAGCAGAGTCGCCAAGTAGACCCAAGTTTTCAACTTGCGCCTGCTTGCGAGTCCGTTTGGCCAGGGTTTAAAACTACTAAGATAATCACACAAGTTGTTCTCTTACTAAGTCTGACTAAAAGTCCAAGCCACTTTAACAAAGAGGAACCGCAAACAGTGCAGAAAACACTTTTACGTAGCCTGGTAAGGTCGACAAATAACGAACAAAACTAGTTTACAAACATTTAGAGAAAAGTTAATTAATTTAGACTAGATTTGAATTGTGGTTTCAAAACAGGAAATAGTAGAAGTCGGTGACCAGGACGCGACCAACGCAAAGCGTCAGATCCCAAGCAAATTTCCTGGTTTTAAAATTGACCGTGAGAAAGTATGCTACAAGTAATTAGCTACGTGAGTAAGTTAAAGTGACAAGGTAACTTTCATTGTCGTTACTACAAACATTAACTAATATTAAATAATTCAATTAACATAAGTCAATTTACCTATTATTAATTAAACACTTACAGCGTAACAAATTATAGAAATATACCTCAACAAGAGAAAACATTGGACGACTTCGAACCACTGCGTACTAATGGCTGAAAGTGCACGATAGCTCAATCAATCAGATTGCAGCATTCACATTGTATACTTGAGGAATTCTATCGATTATTGTTATAGTTCATCACTAAAGTTTCCTGCGCTACTGGCCAAAACTGATCACAATCCGCCGTAGGAGAAAAGATGGCGACTGGTACATTTACCCATGACTCTTAGCGCACGGAAACTAAAACAACGCTCATAAAAACGTACAGGAACGTTCCAAAACCTTCAAACCTAACATACACAATGTCGATAGCACAGGGACAAATACTGCAAAAATCTGGCTTTCCTTGTACCTTACGGGCTGTATTAGGCTCGCATGGTATTGTGGTAAAATGTACAGCTGCCATTTTTTTTCCTACGGAGGATTCGCGCACCTATCTGATGATGGTGCCCGCTCAGCGAAGTGGCTCTTGAGACGCAGCTTTCTCCTAAAGTATTAACGGAATCACGTTTAAAGAACATAACTTTAAATCACATAAAAAAAACATCATTCAACCTCTCTCTAACGTGTAATACAAAACTGTTTAAACTTTTTCAGCCCTCTGACCCAAGATCGAATTGGAATTTAGAAAAGTTAGTTTTCTGAGGAGGGACGATAACAACTCAGAAAACACTACAGCGAACTACGGACTACTACTAGGATGCATGATAACGTTGATGGGCATAAAAGCAGGTGCTATTTATGCCCCTCACATTGCCTGCTCCTAACGAATGAAGTGAAGTTGGCACTGCCGTCACTGAGTCCTACAATAAGTGTACGCTAAAAAGGGACACCATCGCAGCGATTTTACAACATTTTTGATCACAGAAGTGCTAAAATTATGACTGAGTACCTTGACTCGTAAAGCAACTATTCCTAAAACACCAACATGACTATGTTAAGTGAATTACTGAAGGGAGAACAAATTTAATAGGTTTTAAGTGATTTTTCGAAGACACAACGACAACATTTGAAAACGTGTCAGACTTCTTCAATTTGGCCCATTATATAATTTTTTGTATAGCTTCAGGGCATTTATATAGTAATCTTTAACAAAACTAGACCACTAAATTTGTCTTTTGGGTTGTGACTATTCGAAGTTAGGTAGTGGTAGAAGTACCACTACTAACTTAAGCTCGTGATAGTGTCCCTTTAAATTATAAAAATTCAAAAAAAAAAATGAGCTTTTTTCATAAAATGCAAACTTTTAAAACAAAGTACACTAAAATATAAAACAAACTTTATCGACACTCCCTAAAGAGAGCTTTTCAGTGACAATTGATATAAAATCTCAGGTCAACATATTAAGTTAAAATGATGGCGTCTCTAAAAATTACGATAATACAAAAACGAACAAAGGTAGAATATAACTAAGTTAAAAGTAGACACTAAACATTATAAGATAAAGATTACATGAAAGAAGAAATTGTGGTAGTAAAACTAAATCTAAGACCGACCTGAGAGGAAAGCGGCGAGTAAATTAGTCCTTAATTTACGTTTAAAAGTAGGAACAGAGTCGCAGACTTTAACAGGGCTGTCTAAACTGTTCCATAAGCTGAGTGCGCGGCTATAGAATGTCCTCTCTCCGCATCTGGATTTAAAACACACATGTTGCAGCACAATACTGCCTAAAGTAGGAAAGCAAAACAACACCAAACTATTACAGAACAACCGCCAGGTTACTTCTAGTGTCTAGATTCAGGGCGTAATGATTAATTAATGACAAAGCAATAATTGAATAATTAATCAATTAATTAATTCTAAATGTGTTAAAAAGGTCTTTACGCTATACATATACATACATTACTTTATTTACCCTCGGATTTCAGAGAAGCTTATGCAGCTAATATCTCCGAGCATTTAACNGTTATGAACAAAGTGCTTTCTAAACAGCCGACAAACAACGTTTTTTCAAGAGTAACTATGAGGAGGATTTTGAACTTTGTCATTCCCAAGTTAAGCTTTACACTTATAGGTAGTATAGTATCCATTTTGTCGTGGCTGGATATAAACCAAAAATGAATGCTATCTTTATTTTTTCTTGCAACCGTTAAGATTCCATGACACAAACAAGAAAGAAAGTAATAAAAGTATTTTTATCGATGCTGGTCTACTTTGTTGATGAGCCACAAGAACATATGTAGTGGGCGCTTAAGCCAAATTAGCTCAAACTTGTTGAAGAATCGCGATGGAATTTACATAGTGTTAAGCCCTGGCCAAACGGACTCGCAAGTAGTTGCAAGTAAGTAGCCGCAAGTTGAACTTGCGCAGAGACTTTCATTGGGTGACCAAACGGACTCGCAAGTACATGCAAGTCGCAAAAAAAAACCATTTCAAGGTTACGGGCGTAATTAGTGCCGCACGGCCAAAATGTAGCCATCACGCACTCAACTTGGAAGTCACTTACATGTAACTTCAGTGTTAACTTGTGTCGAGTTGGGTTGGGTGGCCAAACGGTAGCTAAACGGTGAAAAGGTTGCGTCGAATTGCGTGCAAATTCATTTCAAGTGTACAACGGACTCGCGCGTAGACCCAAGTCTCCTTGCTAGTTCGTTTGGCCAGGGCTTTTGTAGTCCCTATTCAATCCGGACACAATATGGAATGCCAGTGTATGCACGGAAGACTAAACGTCTTTGTCTGCAACAATTTTGGTAGATTCAAATACCTCATTCCAGGGCCCGGAAGGGAAAAACTCATTATTAAACCATTTCACTCTGATATAATTTAGGACAACAGACTTAAGCTTAGAGACTTAAACTTAAGCCCACCGGCTTACCGGCCTTTGTTCATTTGTGTACTTAACTCTGCTTTCTAATAGTGATGTTTAGGGCGTGGGAGAAAAATTCGGGATTAAACGTGGAAACCTAGCTTTTCTCCACAATCTTGAAACCTCAGCGCCGACTTGAACTTTTCTGTAACGTAGTTTACCACAGTTTTCGGTCCACTACTTAGAGCTGTCTTGTGACAGAAATCCACTAGGAAGGATGAAATATTTTTATCTTCATCTAAAACACTGTTTCTTTATCATAAACCCGCTTGTTTGCAGGAAAATTTTCACAGATGAGTACTATCCAACCGGGTATTTTCCTCAGACGGACACTATTTAAACAATAGAGTGTTTCTGTCGAGGAACTATCGGCTGATAGTTGCCCCGCGGAAATTTGATTGAAAGCCAAATGTAGAATTTGAAGAAGAAAACAAACAAAAACCCTCTTAATACAAATTCACTCGTTTATTTTCTATAAGCCCGCTTGTTTGCAGAAATATTTTCACGGACGAGTACTATCCATCCGGGTATTTTCCTCGGACAAGCACTATGGGGTGCTAGTGTCTCTCCGTGGATGAACACTATCGCGTCACGTGATCAATTTAAACCAATGAGAATCGGAGAAAATTTAGTGGTGAACTATGAGAGCTGATAGGGTCTATCTTCGGATGAACACTTGCGGCACGTGATCAGTTTAAACCAGTAAGAAATGGACAAATTTAGTGGTGAACTATAACGCTTGATAGTGCCCGCGCGAGATCGCACCACGTGGTCAGTTTTGGCCAATGACAACAACGGAAAATTTAGTGGTGGGTTGATAGGGTACGATAGCTCAGCCAATCCGAGTGCTGCAATTGCATTTATTTAGTTTACTAGTAGGACTTCACTAATGTTTGATTGTGTATGATAGCTTAGCCAATCAGATTGCATCATTTGCATCAGTATCTTAGAAGAAATTAAATCACCTCCGACAGTTCCTTTATCTTCAAAAAACCTTGCACTAAATAGCTATCTATAGTCAGTCTGCATTGCAATGTATACTTAATTTTTTATTAAAATGTAATTTATATACATGTATAAGCTTCTTTACACTCAGTATTTACAACACAAGCTCGCCTGGTGAAAGACTGAAAACACACAATGGCGCAGCTTGGAAACACTAAATACTTACTGGCTAAAAATTCACCCTGAAGTGACGTCAAAGGCAAGTATTTGAAAATCTTGAGGTTATACCTCAATGTTTCACAGAATCTAAAAAATGACATAATACTGTAAACTTCCAAAAGTAGTGACTCNCCCCCCCCCACCCACCAACATTAGTGATAAAATCTCATAGCTGCTAGAAATTCACAAACTTAGTACACTCCAAACGTAGCGTCCACCCAAAAGTTAAGCAACCTCACACAAAATTTGACTCGTTATAAGAAACAAAAGAATGGAAATAACAGAAATGACACTTAATACGAAGGCAATGTATTACTTTGTTTTGGTCTAACATACATATGGATATATTTCTTTCTAGGTGTGTCATTGAGAATAAGTCTATTTTATCACAATCGATTGACTCACATGCGGTATACGTTTAAGCTACCTGGAATTAAAACCCTTGCCCAAATATTGCGACCCTCAAAAGAGGCAAAAGCAACAAGAGCCGTTACATACTAGCCTCCTACACAGATGCTCTTTGGGCTCGTCACACAATCTTTATCGTTTGTGGGGGAGAAGTCTGATTAACAGCGTCTGCGTAGGAGGCTTTTGCATATGGAACTTTACAGTATGTTTGTACAATAAAAGATATTGCTCTAGTAAGTAACATTTTAGTCTTAGGCTGAGAAGCTCATCATTAACCTTAGAGTACTACTACAGAGAAGTAAGTGCTATGAACATTTAAATTAATATTGGGGTCTATTTGACAATAGACTCCTCACACTACTCTTAGAGGACAACCATCACCCTTTCGTCAACACAGTTTGTATATACTGTACATTATTTGTCCATGCTTTTTTCTTTATCAGGACTGTGAAATAAAACGCCAAAAAAGACTAGATTATACTAACTTGTTACAAGTTGGACTAAATCTCATACTTTCTCCAGGCATTACAGTCACACCAATACTTTCCCCAGGTCTGGAAAACTGGTCAAGAGACTTAAACATTTTTTCCCCAAAGTTCCATGTCACGTGTGGACTCAGGAGAGAAAAAGTGAAGTGTACATGTATAAGAGGAGAACAGTCATGATGGTACTGATCTTGTACTCTGATTGCTTTGCTTATCATGTTTGAGTGTAAGCCATAAAGCAAACTAGTGTAGCCTACATTTAGGCCAGCTGCACATGATCTTCAAATCTGGTTGTAAATCTTATACGAATGGGCTCTGACCTTGATAAACCTTCACTTAAGACCAACATCAGCTTGGATTCCAGGTGGAGAGAGTGCTTGCAGATTACCAGCTTTGTTAAAAACCCGATTCATTTCTGTCAAGACAGTGCTGAGGAACACTTCGGGATACTGCTGGTTTAGTTGAACTACTGTGTCATCACTGACTTGGTCACACCTCACAAGCCCTGAAATAACACAACACATACATGTAAATGAAAAATTATTTCATGTTAAACTAACTTTGTGGTTGAGTAAGATTCATTCTGCACTGGAGCATAGTGGACCATCAGGGGCAGTGGGACATATATCTGCTGTCTATGAGGTGACTAACAGGATTTCTCCCCCTCATCCCACTGTGTAAGGAATGTTGGTTCATTTGAGGGTCCCCCTCCAAATTTAATTCACCAGTACCCATTTATACACCTGGATGGAGAGAAGCACTGTTAAATTTTATGAAGTGCCTTGCCCAAGAACACAACAAAGGCTCCACCCAAGGCTCAAAATGAGACATTTTGATCCTGCGCTGAGCCACTGGGCCACAGGGCCTCCCGCATTAGTCATTACAAATTATGTTACAGATACATGATTGTATGTTGTAAGATATAGTGTTCTAATGATTTGTGCATTGCACTCTAAAATAATGAAGAGGATCCTAGTCTTGTGGTATGTAGTATACGGGTGTTGTTGCTCCCCAGTAATTAAATTCGTGATTTAGAACTGCCTTAGTACAGTCGAGTTGAGAATTTGTATTGCTAGTAATAGTTACTGACCTAAATGTCGGAGTTGAGGACATCCCTTGAGGACAGTTTTAACTCCTTCATCTGTCACCTCTTGACACCAACTAATGTCCAGTCTCTCCAGGAACTTACAATCATGACGCAAGAATGCCTCCAGTCCTGAAGATTGATCACACAAATTCCATACTTTTTATGCACAATAATTGCTGTGATAGGGCAAAGGCATTAAACAGTTTTTTTTTTAACAATGATGATGGCAAAGTGGTTAGCATGCAGGGCTGTCATTAAGTTTTGAGTCACCTGTAGTCTTGTTCTCCACACCCATAGCAAACTTGCTACTTTTTGGGTGAATTCTATCAACAAAATAATGGCAATTTCACTTGTTACATCAGGGACCTACATGTATCAAGCAGACTCAGCTGTAACAGGTGTTATAGGTTACCGCCCTTAATGACAGTCGCGACAAGTACGAGTTATGATCTGACCAGGCTTTGCCTTCGTGTTGTCCTTTCAAGAAAGAGGGGTGCTACTTGGGTATATAAAATAACTGAGCCACTATGAGTGCTCTCAGTAGTTGATAGGTGCGTTTAGATGAGAGTACATAAACACGATTGTGACATTTTAGATTTGCACATATTTTTTAGAATTATTTTATAAAAGCAATAGTCGGAGCACTTTTTCCACGTTTACATAGCTTCATCTAAACAGTAATGTGTTTGCATAACTGTCTCAAATCCTCCTAACCCTCCTCGTGTTTGGAGGAGGTTATGTAAACACAGAAAAAGTGCACTATTGCTTAAATATTAGTGTCAGGAAGGTGCAAATAAAGCTAAATAGTCCAACCCAGAAAGGTCCCACAAAGTCTATGAATTTCCATGACAAAATCCCAAATTTCTCACCCAAGAAAGGCTCTCATGATCAAGCTTTAAAAGAACCCTTAATACTAGAGTTGGAATCAACAACAGGCAAGTTTACCCATAACATCAAGGACCCATCATTCAGTCAAGCATATTTGGCCATTACAGGTGTTAATGGTTACAAGCCTTAATGACAACCCTGATTGGATCAAAATACATGACTGTGAAACAAACAATGCTCTTACCATTATCCGTTATTTTGCAATGCACCATGTATAATCCACGAAGAGAAACACACTTAGACATTATGTGCTCTAAGGATGCATCTGTCACTTCAAAGCACAGGCTTACATTCAAGACCTTAAGATAGGTGCAACCAGACACCAGTTTCTTAACTACATCATCCGTGAGTTTCGAACAGCAACGCAGATCCAAAACAGTTAGATTTCTACAATAATGAGAAATATGCAATACTGTCTGACAAGTTATCCCACATGAGTTTAGATGCAGTTTCTCAAGTAATGGGCATCGCTGTATAAGTTCACAGACTCCCGCATCTTGAAATTTAGTATTGTACTCTATAGAGATGCTTTGAAGGTTTGGACAATTCTGAGCCACTGGTAAAAGGCTAGCACAGGTAAGAGATCGGCACTGGTCCATTGTTAATCTCTCTAACTTGGTACAACCTTCACAAAGCTGAAAAAAACAACAGAAATAAAAATAACTAACAGAAATTATTATTTTTTTGGTCTGGTGACAACAGAATATTAATAACCTGGGTAGTAAAGAAGGGTAGACTGCTCCCATTTAGTCCTGCAGCCCAGCTAAACACATGTAACTTTTCAATGCGTCATATTGCAATATATTTGCTGCACACAACAGGTTGGAAACATTTAGCCACATCTGAGACAAATTTGCCATCTAAAATGGGTAATTCATCTGGGTGTCTGGAAAACCCGAATAGCGAATAGTGAATAGTCGCGAATAGCGAACAGCGAATAGTTCCGAATAGCGAATAACGAACAGTACGAATAGTGCGAATAGTGGCAAATCGTAGCAAATAGGGTATGCAGTATCTCACAGTCAACCTCGTAGCAACGTAGGATGGGATTTTCCCACTAAAAAGCACAGACCCTTATCAGGACAAAAGGTGTTCTAAATGTAATTTCTTCTGTTTGAACCACTGCAAAAGCATAAATATTAGGTTTATTTATTGTTAGGTTATCCTTGTGTTTTCTGTTTTCTTAATGTCAGCGATGGACAGCCCTAGCCTGAGNAAAGCGGTGACTATTGACAACTATTTGTCACTATTCGCCACTTTTCGCGACTGTTCGCCACTATTTGCACTATTTGTACTGTTCGCTATTCGCTATTTGGAACTATTCGCTGTTCGCACTATTTGGGACTATTCACTGTTCGCTATTCGCGACTATTCGCTATTTGCTGTTCAGGTTTTCCAGACACCCAATTCATCTGTCTGAGATGGGTGAATTGTCTAGGTATAAATTCGATGTGAAGACAAATTTGGTCATGTAATCTATTTTAACACAAGACTGATACCTAGAACATTTATCCATCTCAGATGGATAAATCATCTACATATGTAGGATGGATAAATCATTTTCCTATTATACATTCGGCATCAGATAATTCATTTCTAGTATAAATTCTGTTTGCTCACTTTTTCGATATGTCGTTTGTTGTTGTTGTGGTTAGTCCTGTCTACTTCAGAGATTCTACAGACAGAAACACAGAACTAGCACGAGCTGCACAGTGGTGTCTATTTTCTCCACGTTTCTATCGAGCTATGGAAACACCTGTTAAAGTTTGGGAGAAATTCAAAATTCTGTAGAAACACTTGGCTGCGGCTTGTGTTACTTCAGAGATTCTACAGACAGAAACAAAGAACTACCACGAGCTGCACAGTGGTGTCTATTTTCTCCATGTTTCTATCGAGCTATGGAAACACCTGTTAAAGTTTGGGAGAAATTCAAAATTCTGTAGAAACACTTGCCTGCGGCTTGTGTTTCTACAGCATTTCTAGTTCTCCCAAATGTCCCGTCGTGTTTCTACAACTCGACAGGAGCACAGAAAATAATGTTCTCTATTTCTTACATGAAGGACAAAACTGACCTCTTTAACTCCACTGTCTGTGACACCAGAGCACAAACTAATGTCCAGTAACTTGATATTCTGGCAACTTTGTGCCATTTCAGCCAGACATTTGTCTGTCACTGCCGGACACCTCATAACACATAACTCAATTAAATACCGACACTGCTGTAGAGCCTTGAGGAGCCCTTCTTCAGTGATACTACGACATTCCGAAATATCCAACACCGTGGCAGTTGATGAACCATAGTTTGTGATCCGAACAAGAACCTGATTGTCCACCTTTTGTCTTTTCTGGAGCTTGAGTCTTCTCCAAAGACAAGGATCAAGGGTAGAGTTATACCAATGCTTTGAAACGCACGACGCCCTTCCTAAATCTTTCACGTGCAAATACGACAGAATGCTCAGGAAAACTACTTGAGGAAGGCGGTTGATTGGAAAGCAGTTTCCACTGTCTCCGTTGTCCATTTGGCAGCCGTTTCTTATTCAAGCCCGAAATACCTACTATAATCTTTTCATCGCACAATAAAATGGCACGAGCTCGCGAAGTCGCTTGCAAAAGGCTTAAATCTCTCTGTAACCAAAGTGTACAGGAGACCACTAACTCTGTCATGTATGAAACGCATTCCGTCTCTAGAACCGGATCCTCTGTGCGTGGAACTTCTGTACGTGTTCCTCTTTCTCGAATCTTTTAAAGTTTATTAGAGAAAGAGATAATTCAAATCATAAATCATCCAGTGTCTTTAAAAAAGGCCGTTTGATGTTCTTTTTTGAAAAAAAAAAAACTTAGGTCTACGTCACCTTTCCACAATAACAATTTTATAATATGGTTGACGGATAACACCGGAAACATACAGTCATCTTAAATAATTGATTTCTGTTAGATGTATTATCTTTGTTCCTTATATTAAATAGAAAGAGGATGAGTGTGGGGAAACATTTCGCGAACTTTCAACTAGTTCGTTCATGCATGGGACGGTATATGTACCATACAAGAGGTAATTACTAACAGAAAGCCTTCCGTCACTCGCTCCAGTCTTCTAGCATTCATCCAAGATAGCGGGCAAAATGGCGTCGATTTACAAGTTAGCCTCGCAAACCTTTCGTTCGAACAGGGCGTCTTTGGTAAGGAAATTTTTATTCTCTTGAGAATGCGTTGTAAAAAGATATATGACTTAAAATTCGGCCCATGCGATTCTCAAATCACACCGCGTTACAAATAATTTGTCAGACATGCAAACCTCATCCGTACGTGATCATGAACGTGATGTGAGAACGTAAGAAGCCTCCTTTTGATCCATGCCCTACCCATCAGGTTACCACACATCCCAGTGTGTTTCTCGTGATGTTGAAAATGTTGCTTAAATCCAAACTGACGGGGCTTATTTTGTGTTTTGTTAGTTTTTGCCTGGTTCCACTCCATCATTTACCCAGAAGAGGAGCATGTGGATTGCTCACATGCCTGGTAAGTCAGAAAGTTATTTCATGTATGATTTATTTAACAAATAAAGAAGCCTAAGCCGTGTATTACACTGTGATAAAACACGACTGGCATTTGAGGAACACGAGGGAAATGCAGAAAACACGATCCGCAGGCGAGTGTTTTCTACATTTCTTGAGTGCTCTCAAATGTCCGGAGTGTTTTATCACAGTTTTTTATATGGCTGTGTCTCACAAGGACTGGGAACTACCGAATTCACGAATTTGATTGGCTGAAATCAATATTGACCGCGGTCTAGATTTTCCCATCTAGACCGGTTTCATTTTGTGTTGAAAAAGTAGCAAACTGAAATATAAAAATGTTCACCATTTTCTTTTAGTTTCTTCTCAATCAGTTATGGAAGTTCCAAAAGCCTGATGACAAAAAATAAGTAAAGATCGAGGACGAGCAAATTTCGGCAGGTTTCAGTTAAGCTCATCGCCGTTCGCAAGCAAAATGTCAGCAAACCAGTTACATTAAACAAATTAAAGTTTTCTTCTTTGCCATATAATAAACATCTTATTAACTGAGCTGAGTCAGTCTGTATGAGAGAATCTTGACCTCGGTCGTGTGTACAGACCTCACTGCGTTCGGTCTGTGCTCACAACCACGGTCAAGATTCTCCCATACAGACCTCCTGCTCAGTTAATAAGAGCTAAGTAATACACAGCTTAGGCTTGTTCATTTGCTTTATGATACAGATTTTCCACGGTGCAAGTGGAAACAACAAAGCACACAGATCGAAAAACAATAAAACACACTTTTTTTCTGTTTTATACTCTGATAAAACAGGTTTTTGACCAATCAGAGTACACACAGGGTCCTTTCTACATTACACATGTTTATAATATTACTCTCCAGTGTTTAAATTAAAAATTAAGCAGAAATATTGATGAATGTTGTAGTTTAGAGGAACCATTTGAGGGGGTGGGGGGTGGGGATGAACTGCCATATGAATAGGATGGGTTGCTCATCCTACCTTTTAAGGGGTCTAAAAAGCAGTTTTGGTACCTCATAGAGTGTTCAGCCTCAAAAGGTCCACAGCAGAAGTTTTTGCAGTACCTTTTTGGGTATCGAGCACAAAAAATATGACAGGAGATAAATGTGTTGTTTTAGAATTGGTACCTCTTACGGGTGAAAAAATTTCAAGCCACACCCAAAAAATAGGATCTTGGTACCTCTTAGGGGTTCTTTTCAAAATTCCCGACAAGCACCCCTTTCCTTTTTATATGGGAATTTGCCCCCCACCCCCTGCCCCTGGAACCAAATTGGTTTTGGTGAATTGCTTTTTCAATACACTGCACAAAAGAAAACAATTTATTCAAAACTTATTGTTTATAATTTTTTTCCTTTTGAGTTTGGCATACAATTTCAATTTAACAGTCATGAAAGCAACCCGGAAAATGGAAATAAAATACAATGCAATTGTTCTAGTTCAAGTTAATTGTAACTTGCTTTAAATATAGTTTGTTTTCAATTGTTAGAAATTGACACTGGTTAAAGATTTTTCACCAGCTGAAAATTTCAGTTACTTATATTTAAGATTATGGTAGAAAGGTGACAATGTTTCAACTTCTGTTCATCTCTGTTATATAAAATTAATATTGTTGTTTGTTTTTAATTCCTAGGGAAGAAGCTCTGTTTTGAACACCCCTCAATAACTCCACTCTTCTCTGATTGCATTCAGAAAAGGAATATCACTTTGCTCACCACCTTTAAAGTTGTTGACAACTCTATCCTTGGAAAGAGCGTGAAAAAGAATCGAAAACCATACTTAATAGGATTTTACAAAGGTAGAAAGACTGCTGAGCAAGGTGATGTGATCAAAGTTGCCATTGCGGGCAAGACAAATAAAGCAGTTGTCATTGGTACAAGAAAAACAAAACATCATACAATACCAAGATATGACAACAACTGTATTGTGCTTGTGGATGAGAACCTCGCTCCACTAGGAACTCGAGTAAAGGCACCAATACCAACAATTTTAAGAAAGCGACAAGACAAGTTGTCAAAAGTGCTGGCTCTTGCTACAAGGTTTATTTAGTCATGAATTGTGTAGTTGATAACATTTTGTTTTGCTCGAATGTGTTAACTTTGGAGTGGACTTAGATAAATATCAAAATGCTGTAAAAATTCTAAAATTCTGTACACTTGCTGCTTCCAATCTTCCATCAGAATAGAAAAAGAAAATAATTACAATTTGTTAAGCTCCCAAAGAACTCACTGATCATAAGTCTGAATATCAACTCATGAGCTCCTTACTGTGGAAGCTCCTTACTGTAGACCCGTTTTTGCATTGTACATGATAAAGGTGTATGTACAGATGTATGTACATATTGTCAGTAGCAGTATGGATATTTGGATACAGAACAGTTTCATGTACATTTGACCCAAACATTAATGTAGAGCCTGTATTGGTATAGCCTGAGAACACAGACAGACTTCTGGCTTTTGTATTTTTGGCAGCGTGAAACAAAAGCCAGAAACCCATCTGTGTTTGCAGGCTAGTATTGTTATCATTTACAAATACAAATTAAAATACATTTTTACTCATTCACTGGGCAGGTGTTATGGTTTTATAGCAAGTTATGATTGTCGCACTGAATAACTTGTTCAACGATGAAAGTAGCTTGTGAGCAACCACTCCTCTCTAATAGCCATCTCTTTTCAACAGGAAAGATTTTTTTTCCAACTGTGTGTTGGTCCAAGCACTTGACACTTAACTTGCGTAGCAGACGTTCATTTTTAAAAGCATGTGAAGTGAACACAACTCCAAGCGGGTGAGAAAAAACAAGAAGCAGTGGAAGGGGTGGGGCAAAACACTCACCCCTCACCTTTCTCCTCCATTTTTTGCTCACCTTCTCCCTGTTTCTCGCCATTTTTTGCTCATCCCAGGCACACTAGTTTGTTTGCTCAATTCCCCACCTGAAAAATGGAAAGGAAGCATCCCCAATGCAGGCTACTCGACACTCATCAAATTGCCACCACGACAGCTGCCTTTCAACAACTGCCTGTTGATTTTCCTTAGCATTATGTTGCAGAGGTTAGACTAGAACTGTATCTTAATTCATTTAAGAAATGCACAGAATCTTTTTTTAAAGTTCTCTGTTATCAACAGGGTGATGAGAGAACCATGGGTGTAAGTATAAAAGAGCTAGAGACTGAGACTGCAATATGTAATATGTGTGGGCTATTGACCAAGCTTCAGGTCAAGATGACAGAATATTAGCCAAGTTCTATTTTTGTGTGTTTACAGAACAAGACTCAATCAAGAATGAAAATTAAGAAAAACAAGGCTAATCATCGCCATCTTGGGCAAACAATAAAGACAGTTTTTATTACATGACACACAGGTCAACACCAATTTCTTGTGGGATAAAGCAAACAATCTCAACTGAGTAGTTAACTCCATCTTGCTCACCTGGGTAGCCAATAATATTACAAGCAGTTCACCTTGTGTGGACTAGGCAGTAGCAAGTGTGAATTATTCGAGTGGAGCTCGCATTAAGAGCTGGACTGATTTTGGTAAAGGACATGCCTTGATATAAAATACAGAAACCGTGATATGTCGTGAATTGCCAGGCACTTATTATTTAACCATTAATTTCTCTTCCAGATTTCCAATCTGTTGTGACTTAAGAGAATCTTTACAAAATTAAGAGGCCCACTGCTTGCTTGTGTGCTTAAGAGAGGTGTCACCTATGGGTGGTTAATGTATTGTTCAGGGTTCATGCTCTTTTTAAGAAAAAAACTTCCAGGACTTTTCCAGGTCTGAGATTTATTTTTCTAGGACTCTAAAATTTACATTGACCCTTTCACTCCCAAGATCTGAACATTAATTCTCCAGACATAACTCATAAAGTAAGTTTTGAGAATTTAGTGAATTTAACAGATTTCCAGAACATTCCTGGACCAGTCTTATTCCAGGACCTTCCAGTCCTGGAAAATGCTGCAATAAAATTCCAGGACTTTCCAGGTTTTTCAGGGCCCATATGAACCCTAATTGTTTGCATGTAGCTGGGCCAAGTGTTTGCCTACAGGAGGTAGTCCACCTACCGGAGTCCCTGTTAGTAGGGGTTTGTCTGTAGAACTTTTATAAATTATTATTCACTTGCCATGATGCAGTATGTCACATTTTTCCTTTATGCTGAAATCAGTTTACCTATTTTCCAAGCATTCCACAAGATGGCATAGTAGAGGTATGCTTGTTGATGGTTTGATAGTCACTACAAAGCCCTGTGACTTAATGAGCTTTTTGCAATCAATCTTGACCACTGGAGCCAATTAGCAAGAGGGGAAAGCGGGCTGAAAGCTTGTCTGTTGGCTTTGGCAAGTTGAATATTGTTAGATTCTTAGTTCTCTCCAAGAAACTTGAAAACAAATGGTTTATTGCTTCAATCCAACAAAATCTTGATAACAAAAATTTACAGAAGCTTACATCACCAATGACAAACTATTAATCATTAAACCAATGTTGGCACTAACAAGTTACAATAAAGCTCGTGTCATGACATGTTCATAACCAACTGGAACAGTACATGCTTAAAAGAGGTTTTACACACGCATTTGAATTACAAATTTTCATTTTCAGCTCTTGCATTCAAATCACCACACTAGACCACACCATTAGCTTGACTGCTTGGCCATCTGGAATCTCACAGCAATAAAAGGCAAGGTGAACATTGTTCCACAATACAGGATCATGGTCATAAGAAGCCTTGGCTTGTTCTTCGTCTGGAAAGGCATGTTCTAAAAATATGCAAGACAAATAAATTACCTATTATTAATACCTTAAAGATTAAGGCCCCATCCACAACATGCAACAATCACTGCTCATTTGGGATTTGTGTTTGAGAAAAAGTTGGGCAGACAAGTCACATGATTATCATGGCACCATCATTTTCAAAAAGCTCCCTTTTCAAAATGTCTTCCAAGCACACTAAAATGCAAGGCCGATGTTTTCAAATTCCATCAGTTTGAAAAGCATTTTCAAAAAGCTCCTTTCTTTGTGATGGATTAGTGTGAATGGTAGGACAAGCCATAGAAATAAAGCTGTGTTTTCATATTTCTCCAGTGTACAGGGCTCGAAAAATATTCGAATTCCACCTTACCCATTGGGCAACTAACTCTCAAATTTTGCTTGCCTGGGGCACTTCCCCGCTTGCCCAAGTTTTCAAACTCATTAATAATTTATGAACCCAAAAATGGAAGTCAAACTACAGGCGTGTTTTAATGTAATAAACCCATCTTGACTGTAGCCCTCTTAGTGCTGATCACTTTCATGTTTACGC